TCCACAACGCGCATTCACCCAGACACCCACTTACCACACACGCAGACACACATACACACCACACGCGCGCATACACGTCCACAACGCTCATTCACCCAGACACCCACTTACCACAGACACAGGCGCACATATACACCACACGCGCGCACACACATCCACAACGCACATTCACCCAGACACCCACTTACCACACACACAGACGCACATGTATACCGTGCGCGCGCACACAGCGCACAGACACCCACCACACACACACACACACACACACTCTTACAGAGACACATGTACACAACATGCATGTACCCAGACGCCCACCACACACAAACACACACACAGACATATACCCAGACACATATACACACAACATACAGACAGATGCAGATACAACACTCAGACATCTATGTGCAGACACACACATAGTACATACACAGTACACACAGACACACACACCACAAACACATACAATACATACACTGTGTGCACACACAGACACACATACCACAAGTACACATACAACACACACACACACACACACACACACACACACACACACACACACACATACACAACCACACCACAAACGCCAAATCCTGAGTTTGAGCCTCTTGTACCGTGAGAAGGAGCCCTGGCTTGGGAGTGGAGGAATCAGAGGGCCTGGGTTCAGATCCTGCCTGGTCGCCAGGGTGGACACACTGCTCGCTAGCTCTGGGACCTTGAGCAAAGCTGGTTGTGCCTCTGTCCCCTCATCTGTGAATTCATGTCGGGAAAAGGCTTTGAGCCACAAACGGATGCGGGAGTTATTGGCAGTGCTATTTTTTTTGGTATGTTTTAGTAAATAGTATTTTATTTTTCCAGTTACATAAAAAGATAGTTTTCAACATTCGTTTTTGCAAGATTTTGGGTTTCAGATTTTTCTCCCTCCCCCCCTCTCCAAAACGGCAGGCAATCTGATGTAGGTTATATACGTGCAATCGTGTAAATATATTTCCACATTAGTCATGCTGTGAAAGAAAAAATAGAACAAAAGGGAAAAATCATGAGAAAGAAAGAACAAGTGAAGACAGTCTGCTTCGATCTGTGGCAGTACTGCTGTAGTTAAGTCAATGAGAGGCAGTGTGGTCCGGTGAAGGGAAGCAGGATCTGGGTTCGAGTTCTGCCGCTGAGCCTGAGCAAGTCACCTAACGTCAGTGCTCCCGGGGAGCTCTCCCAGACTGTCGCCAGTTAGAATGAGTCTGCTCAAATTCTGAGTCCTCTGTCCAGCATTCAGAGCCCTGTATCTCCCCACCTGCCTTTCATGTCTGCTGGAAGCCCCATGTGCTCTTAGGTCCAGTGATATTGGCCTCCTGGCTGTTCCTGGAACAAAGATTTGCATATCCAGACTCCTGGCCTTTGCACTGGCTGTTCCCCCATGCCTGAATTCTTACCGTCACCTCTGCTTCTTGGCTTCCCTGGCTTCTGTAAGCCCCAGCGAGGACCCCCTTCACAGAAAGCCTTTCCCGACCTCCTTTAATCCCTCTGTGGATAGTCTCAGTTTATCCTGTCTGGTGCTTGTTTGCCCAGAGTTGCCTACACTCTGTCTCTGTATCAGACTGGCAGCTCCGTGAGGGCAGGGCCTGTCTTTGGCCTCTCCCCCATGCTTAGTGGAGGGAGTTTGCCCATTGGAATCTTCTGATGAAGTCACAGAACCGGACTTCTCCTGGCCCTAAACATGCATCATAGCTGAGAGTTGAAAGGCCTGTGGTCTTTGCCTCCAGGCACCAGGGCCAGCTGCCACTCTGTCCTTTGCCCAAGCACCCCAGTCAAGTGCTTACTATGGCCCAGGCCTGGAGGAGGGCTAGAACGCAACGGTCCCTGCCTGCACGGAGCCTGCAGTCTCATGGCTGCCTTGGCTTCCTTGGTGGTGTCCGGCGTCCCCTCTGGCCTCATGTCTGCCACCCTGAGGCTGATACACTAAACATGCACAAAATGTGAACAAAATGGGACCCCACCCCATCCCTAGCTGCTTCACTGAGCGCTGTTCCAGCAGCTGAGGATTCCCTGCTCTCACGGGGCTTGCGTTCTGGGGGGTCAGTGGGGGAGTCACTGGGTCGGGGCTGTTCTGCTGCGGGCCAGATGACTGAGCAGAACCCATGAACGTTTTAATTCAACCAGTGCCAACGAGACACCTCCTGTGTGCCCAGCTGGGCCCTGCCCTCAGGGAGCTTCCAGTCTGCCAGGTTAACAATGCCTTAAAAACCAAGGCCTGGGAGGGTGTGCTCAAACGAGGCTAAGTGAGCCGAGACTTGATATTCAAATCTCGACATGCTTGGAGGAGGGGGCTCCCCACGAAGATTGAAAGGCGCGGCGTCAGAGCTTGGCCATAAGGGAATATTATTTGGTGATAAAAGAATTATTACTTTCCACAGTGGGGAGCAAAGTTAATGGAATTCCTTACCCCGGGAAGAGATCCAGGCTGAAATTATAAATGTGTCCTTGACGAGTTTAGCAGGAGCTATTAGAGGCTTTTAAGGGAGGCTGGGGGTGGGTTTTTTGGGGGGAGCATCCTGGCTGCTGAGTTTGGCATCCATAAGCCCCCTCCCCAAAACCTCTATCTCTCAGTACCCCTGTCAGGTTACAGAATCCTAACCCGTCAAGGGGCTGCAGGGGTCTATGTTTGGTTGCACTCTCGTGGAGATAGAGAAAGCAGCTGAGATTGGGGTATGGGCCCCAAGGGTCACCCCAGAGCCGGGCCCTATGCTTGGGACCCCGCAGGGAGCCCCTCTCCCCATCCCTCGAAGACCTAGGGACGGCAGAGACTAATGACCCTCCTCTCCCCTGTGCAGACCGTGGCTGAGTGCGTCCTCTACTACTACCTGACCAAGAAGAATGAAAACTACAAGAGCCTCGTGAGACGCAGTTACAGGCGGCGTGGGAAGAGCCAGGTACGAGACCCCTCAAGTTGGGACTCCCCATCCCTGCCCCGTGCCCAGAGGCCCATCCTCAAGGCACGGCACTGAAACCTGCGTCCCTAACCCCCAGTCCCTCCAGACCAGCCTCCCTCAGTTCTCCTTCCGGACGCCTGGGTGGATGGAGCGGCTGTGGCCTGGGCCTTGAATGTCTCTCCATCATCTGTCCCCGTGTGAAAGGGTTTCCCTGGACACTGACCACAGGCGTGCCTCAGCCTCAGTTTCTGCATCTGTAAAATGGAGATAAAAAGCAATATCTACCTCCCCTGGCCTTAGAGAGGCTCAGATGAGATCATATTTGTAAAGAGCTGCGTAAATGTTAATTCTGGTGATGATTCCTTCACCACCTCCTCGTCTGGTTGGCTTCTGTCCCTAAAAAAGTGGTGAGTCAGTCAACATTTTGGGGGTCATGTAGTCTATCTGGGACCCTGGGGACAAGACCTTCACCTGCACATTCCCAGTCCAGGAGTCTTTCGGGGAGCCCACTGTTGGTGGAAGGGGGTGCCTCCGTGTCCGAGGACAGAGAAGGGCCTTGGTTTGAGGCCTGTTGAAGCTCGTGGTTAGATGTCAGGGTAGCCGGTTGACTGTGGTGTCGAAGGGGGTAGAGATAATTTTCCTTCTGTGGAGGTCCAGAGATCCCTTGTCTGGGTTCACCTCCCTGTGTGAGTGACCTGTCCGAAGGCTGGAGAGGGAGGAAGTGATGCCTCAGGATGCCTTCGGTTGGATTCCAGGATTGGCAGGAAACAAAGGGATTCTTTGTCCCCCCTTGGGGTCCCCCCACCCAGAGGTGTGTGCTGCCTGGAGAATCCCCACCTCTGGCCGAGCTCAGAGCAGAGAGGGGGCCGGTCTCCCTGGAGGGAGCCGGGATGGATCTGCAGATGTTCTGTCTGTGCTAAATGGAGATAGGACCGGGTCCTCTGGCCTTCCACCGTCCGAGGAGTCATGCGTCCCTTTCCGGTGTGGCCCCCTACCTCCCTTTTCAGTTTTGTTGTCCATCAGCAAAAAGCCTTGCAGACCTGACACGCTTCTCTCTGCGTCCAGCAGTACAGGTTTATAAAGCTCCTGTTCTTGACTATCAGTCCAGGCCTGGGATGCACCTTTCCCCGCCTAGCACAGTTTAGGCACCCGTCACTCAGTTGGTAAACATTTATTAGGCGCCTCCTGAGTGCCAGGCACTGATCCCCGCCCCCCCAGTTATTTTCATGTGTATGCCCCCCCAGCTTTGCATCAGTGTCCTGGTACACATAGTGGGGCGACAGTAAGCTCCTCGAGGGCAGGCAGCATCTTCTTCCATCTTTTTTGCCTGCGTTGCTATAAGCGTGGCCTGGCCCAGTCGGCGGATGGTAGACAGCCTCGAGGCGAGCACTGGCCAGGCTGCGGGATCTGATGGGGTACCTCGTATTCTTCTGGTCAGTGGTGTGGGGCTGGGCAGACAGGGCCGGACGCTTGACCCCTTCCCAGGGCTCCCGGGTCCCCGTTACTGGGTCTGGGGGCTGCCAGAGAAGCAAGGGGCTTATGGTGCCTGCTCCTTCTCCTCTAGGCTTAGGGTCCTTGACCCGCATCCTGCCCTTTTGGGATTTTCTTCTTTGTCAGTAACACTTTGTAGAATTGGCTCCCTTTGCCATTCTTGTGTTTTATTTTACGCAATTCCAAGCATAATTCTAAGAAGGGGCTCATGGGCTTCAGGTCACAAAACAGTTAAGAACCCCTCCTCTAGTCGACATCCCTCACTTAACAGCCCAGGGGCTGAAGCCTGGAGTTAAGTGGCCCGGCCAGGGTCAGCAGATCAGTCAGGATCGGAACCCACATCGTGCTCCAGAGCCGAGTGTTCTTTCCCCTGGCTCCTGTTGGATTTCCATCAGATTTGCCAGTTCTCCACAGCGTGCGTGTAGGTTGTGGCTCGGGTTTTGGCTCGGGTTTTGGCTCAGCGGCGATTTCAGCAGCTATGGGAACTCTCGGTGTGGACGTCCCCCTCCCCAGCACAGGTGGGCATTTCTTCAATAACTCGGCAGCCTTGCGTTGTCCAGGCCAAGGAACAGTTAGGCGACTTGACCAGGGTCTCATGGCCCATGGGGCTCCTGCCCCAGCCGGCAGCTTCCTCTGGGTCCCAGCAGGCTCTGGGCAGCTCCGGCCCCCTCCCCTCCCGTGTTAGTGTGTGCTGTGCTAACGCAGACGATGTGACGTCGTGACATTCACCCGAGGCAGATGGAATTAGGGAGGTGTAATGGTGGGCGAGAAGGACACGCATGGAGCCCTTCTG